ATTATATACAAGTGAAAAATCAATATACTTTTTTTTTTGCGAGTTTAGGGAGTTCATGCAGTGGTTAACATTGAATATTAGACCTGTCAACCACCTCTTAGTGTTAAAGATCTCGGGTGTAGCCTTTTGTTGCTTTGAGGTTTCATGGGATAAACTGCAGGCAAAACAGTTCTTTTCATGTTACTGTGGCTTTTGTATGCCCTGCACGTACATATGTGGGCCGTAATGTTGGTGACCTCAAAAGCTGTAATTTGATTTCATTGCAAAGAGACATCGATATCATGCCTGCTTTAAGTTATGTTGAATAAATAATATAAAACATTGTTGACCAATTATGTGTGTCAGTAAGTACCCCTACCTTTACGACTTTTGTCTTGTTTTGTTGTCACATGGAAAATTACAGATTGTGTTTGTTTGTTTTCTCTTGAATATTCTCAAAGACAGAGCTACATGTACATCATGATTCCCAAACTGTGCCAGGACCAATCACAAACAAATATAGACAATAAATTTTTGAATTAACATCTCTGTTTTCCCCTATGCTAACTAACTTTCTCGCACGCTAACCAACAAATCTTTTGTCTTCTACTGTCTGAAAATTATTTAGTTTAATATACACTCAAGTTTGTAAATCCAAACCTAATTCTATAACCATCTAGCCAATCAGAGAAACTTTTTTTTGTTTTTTAGGCTTTAATAACCACTCAAATTGTGGCTTTTATAGACATTCAGAAATGGTGCAACTTTATTTCGGAGCAGTTCTGTTACGATTTATTATTCATCCCAGCAAAGAATAGTTTTCTGAAAAGTATAAAAAAATTTTTAGGTTTTTAAGCAGTGGTTTATAGTTATGAAATGACACAATCCAGACGAACAAGATATTTATACAGGTGTATAAATTCAACTATTATTTTATCTCTTCACCATACAAGTTCAGTTAATTCTGTCTAACCTGAACATTGACACGATTGAAAAAATGTTTCAATTTGGAGAGGTCTTATAAATGTATATGCACTTTTATGAATAAAATCGATTTGAATTGATTTCACTGTATTTTTAATGTTTCACTTTCATAGCATTCATACATTGTAGGGCTTTATTGGGGTTTGATGGTCTGAATTTGTGCATATTGTGGGCAATACATGATAAACAGGAAAATTGCGTTGGTAGTATAAACACAGACTTACCGGTACATAAAAAGACCACTGTAGTTTATGGTAACGGTTGGGAAAACCTTGTCATGATTATAATGGAAGGAAGAGTTATGGCTTCATGGTTCAAAAGTTTTACTGATATGTTATTCAAGTCAGGCATGATGACATTTGTAGTTCAAAGTGTCATGACATTAATTTGATAATTTGGTTGCCATGAAACGATCTTTTGGGGCTCCTCTACTCTAGGATTTCATAATAGGAATGTGACAAGCAAACCATGGCATTTCTATCAATAGTTCTTCTTGATTCAACAACAGTATTTCCCTGCTCTTTTAGCTTATTTACCCCGAATCTCAATTTTAAGAGGTCCAGGTGAAGATTGTATGTCATCTGTTTCATGCGTTTGTTATTGGATGTCGAAAATGAATGAAATATTTTTGTCTTTTGATATTATGACTATTAAAAAACATAATTGATTTGCTGCACACAGACATAACATGTGCTGTACTGTCTGTGTTTTGAAATCATGCTTACTATACCATTACGTGATATGGCTGGTAATGTTGCAAACAATCAAAGAAATTAGCTAGCTGACTGAATGGCTTGATATTCAGAGATATGCAAAATAAAATACTAATGGTTTGGAAAGCTTGTTCTGTGAAAATTAAACTTTTCTTGGCTCTAGTTAGTAAGTGTAATATTTTAATTACAGGTGATATTACAGTATATTCGACAAATATCGCAATCCCATAATTACTTGTCAATGTTTTTTCTTGCAGCACAAAAAATAGATGAATTGAAGAAATTATTTCTTGAAGAAGAAATTGATAATCTGAGGTACGCTTTGCGAGATGCTCGTAGTCACAATGCTTATCTTCAACAGATAGTAGAGCAAACATTAACGAAAAGGTAAGCAACAACACAAATTTGGAGTTAACAGTGCCTAATCACTTCCTGGGGTCATTGCTATGGTGAACACTCTTGGCTGTATCCGCAGAAACATTTGACACCTGATTGCTTTCGGTTTGTGGTGTTTATTAGTTGTTGCTATCACCATGGTTGCACCATTAGTAATTATGCTGTTGTGACATTTCAGTGGAAAGTTTGTTTTGTGTTGCTAGGCTGGTATGCACTCCTCCCGTGGCATTGTCATGCTAGTTCCGTTTCACATCGTTGTCAGGCTGCTACAAATAAAGATGATACAAAGCTAACTTTGTTGTACAGTGTTCTCATGCTTGATACAAAGTTCACTTTGTCATTGGCGTCGTTAGACTATCCTTGCAGCCAAATACCAGCTTAGCATCATACAACAATTCCTGTGTCCTAGAGTAGCATTGTAGCTCCAATGTGTTGTGCTTTCCTTCCATCAATGTGCTGTTCTAGTTTTTAATATACCATAGCCACTCTAATAATTTGTCTAAACAGAAAGACAGAAGCAATATCTTTCGTAGGTAGGTAAATTACTAGATTGGTTATGGTATTTGTGTGTTTGTTTTTTTATTCAAACATTCCTGCAGACAAGTGGGATTCCCGGTATATGCGATTTATTTTACGACTTAGGTAATTATGTACGGTATGTGACAAAGATTCAAAGATTTAGTTTTATACAAAGTACTTAAAGTGATTATTAGAAAAATGGTTGTGAAGATATGCTATTTAAAGTTATAACATGTATGTTAAAAAATGGTATGTTCATCCTCCATTTTGAAAATACCGCTCAGGTTGAGCACTGAATTTAATTTGGTTGTGAGTACTTTAAAATTCATGTTCACATGTTTTGTATTGATATTCAATTTTGATGGTCAAAATTAAATCAAAGCACAAAGCAATTATTTATCACACGCTTTCACATTTTTCCGCATATCACCGCTACAGATATTATAATGTCACATACGGTAACACACCTTGTCTGCTCCTGATAACCCAATAGTATCCTCTGTTTATTTATTTATTCTCTTGTACTTCAAAAATCCTATTACATGTGTGTGTTCGATCGAAATCAAAATATAATGTTATAGTGCAATCTTTTTGTATACAAAGTCGAACAACATGCCACAAAACTTTATTGATTTTACCCCCCTCCCAATGTCAGTCGAAAACAAATTACTTGCTTATTTGACAAACTTATAAATAGATAAATCACCTTGTGTTATAGTTTATAGAAATTTAATGACGTTGTTTGATACTGATTACATACTTTTGAAATGTCTTGAGCAGACCTGTTGGCTTATTTTAGGTTTCGCACCTCAATTAGAATTTGTATCAAGACGCGGGCAGGGTCACATAGGCATCCCTGTAATCCGCTCAATTTATTTAACAACTTTTTGCAAGGGTTAGCATGCTGTCTTCATTTAATAAGATACCACAATGATCATGCATTAGATTTGAAAGTTGAATTTTAGCGGAAACCAATTGGTTTTGAAATGGTGGGCTGATGCACTGTATATTCAACATTTCCAATCTCAATTTGTAGTTCGATCATTTTGGAACATCTGTGATGATGCTGATGGCTCTATTTGCAAAATACTGGTAGACCTGCTATTTAAGTTTTCACATTGTCCTTTATAGGATGTTTAAATTGTAGTATGAGACCTGATGTCATTAGTCTTTTCCCCCCAAGTAAACAAGGCTGGTAACCAAGAGGAAAATTTACTGGGCAGATTTGTGCGGACTACACAACAATTGTAGATCAAAAACTAATCTAATCTCTGTAAAATGTATTCAAAAGAGGTTTGCAAACTAAAAAATATTATTGTTAAATGAAATAATTATTTTGTCTTTAAAGCACTGTTTATCAACTCGTGTTTGGCTGAAAATTGATAATTAGTTTTACCATACTCTGCAAGGTAATTCTGATAATGTTTAACATAGTTTGAAATTGTTGACACAGGCCATGATATAACCACCCCAACTTCAGTGTAAGCCATGATACAATCACCTTTCCTCAGTGCACAGGCCATATGATACAACCACCTACCCTCCCCTCCAGTGTTACAGGGCATGATATAACCTTCTCACCTTCATTGTACAAGGCATGATACAAACACCTCACCTTAAATGTACACATGTACATGCCATGATACAAACACCCCACCCTCATTGCACAAGGCATGACCACATTATCTCTTATGTACAGGCCATGATATAACTACTTCACCTCCAGTGTACAGGCAAGTTTAGGTTGTGATATGACACATTCATTTCGCCTTCAGTATACAGACTGTGATATAACCACTTTTATTAGCTCCAACGTCGACTTTGTCGAGCGGAGCTTATCATATGAGTGATTGTCCGTCGTCGTCCGTGTCAATGTTTTACTTTTTCGACTTCTTCTTGAAAACTACAAGCCTGAATGCTTTGATACTTGGTGTATATGTACCTTGGGTAGACCTCTCTTAGGTTTGTTCATTTCATGTTGATATCTTCAATTCTCTAATTTTGGTGAATATTTTTGTCATTTTTGGTAAAAAGTGATATTTTCGACTTCTTGTTAAAAACCGCAAGTCCAATTGCTTTGATACTACATATATAGGTACTACATGTGGACCTCTCTCAGATTTGTTCATTTCGTGATGATATCTTCAATTCTCTAATTTTGGTGAATATTTTTGTAATTTTTGGTAAAAAGTGATATTTTCGACTTCTTGTTAAAAACCAAAAGTTCAATTGCTTTGATATTACATATATAGATACTACATGTAGACCTTTCTCAGATTTGTTCATTTTGTGATGATATCTTCAGTTCTCTAATTTT